CAAAATAAATACTAACTTTGTAAAGCATAATACGTGATAATTCTCGAGTATGTATTATGTATATCGAACGACTACTTTTTCCCTACCACCATTTTAGCATGGAAGTCAATCGTCCTCGGTATTATACATATGTATAACAATTGATCATCATTACAAACGAATTACTCGACCAATTTCCAATCCATTTGTTTAAATTAATAGTTAGTTTGTAATCGTGCCATGTATCCACATTAAAGCTTATACACGCTACGAGTTAACTGATCTAACAATAATAAAGGATATACACTGTTCCTTCATAATGTCTTTGTTATATCCTATCGGAACTTCATCGTTAATGAGCTGAACTGAAAATGGATAGCTGGCACACACACACACACGTGTGAAAGAAATTACACCGCCCTAGACACGTATGTTACATCACATAACTAGGAAAGCTGGATAAATATTAGGGTTATATTTATAGACAACGAACACAGGTTAGTCATGTAGTAACAAAAATTATCAGGCTTAAAAAAATGATCTTTTCATTTTGAAATTGTATATGTAGTAATAATGTAACATTTGGAAAAGAATGTGTGACCATATAAGATAGATATTCGTTGAGTCTGAAAGTGGTACATGTGTTCGTAAAAACATCTGTCGCAGAAAGCAGGAAACGTGGTTCATTTTTAGTTCTTTGTTTCTTCCAGATTTCTCATGTAAATTTATCTCTAAAATAAGTTTAAAAAATATGTAACTTCCCTTCTTTATTCTTTCGCTAACATCAGTTTTCATGTTTATGAAATTGCAAATTACTGTAATTAATATTTGCTGAAATATTCAAAAAGATTGGTACTTCATGAACATAGAAAATGTACAAGCAAAAACTATTTAATTTGCTAACAAATGAATTCAAATTTAAAGAAAGAGATATTTAAATATTTATGCAAAAGCAATAGTTTAAAATATATCAAATATATGCTACAATCTGTGGTAACGAATGATTTAGAAGGCCGCCAAAAAAAAAAACACGAAAAAGCTATTAAAAAATTATTTTTCAATTGTTTTATAACCTGATTTTGAATGCGATGCAATATATTTTTCAAACTGTCTAATGTCAAAATTTATAAAAATCATTCACATAAACATATTTGCGCTTTTATAAGTATTACATTCCTGACTCCGAAAATATCTATCTAGTAAACAAAATTTGTAAACATGTTTAAAATCTATCACACCTAGCATGTCTACCTCTGCATTCTAACGCCTCGCACCGGTGAGACGCTAAAATCGATATTGAAACGGACAATGTTGCAACTGTGTGAACGGACATAAACACAAAAATCAAAATGCACAAAAGAAACGGTAGACGCAAGCACGCACGACACGTGGAGGGGGTTCCCTGTGAACAACACGAATGTACGCATGCGCGTAAGGGAATGAAAGAATACATAACCACACATTCAACACACGATATGCTGAAAATGTTTTCTAGCGTGTGCATGTATTCGCAGAACAGGGGAAGAGAGCAAAGAAAGAAAGAAAGGAATAACGTATATTAAAATAAAATCAACCGAAATTTTTTAAATGAAAATAGAGGGATGGGCATCGAGACACGTTCGTCTGAGAATTTTTAATCGAACCGAATAGGAGTGCCTGTAGCGTACAGAATGTGATGCGTAATTTTATCGTTCAAATCTATTTATTGCAATTTAAACTGAAGACAAAAACCAAATTTAGGTTACACTTGAAATTCAAACACGAATAAAAAGAATCGAATGAGAACATTAACTGTTACATTCTATTTTGACCGGCTCCTTTAGCAATAATATGTATCGGCAATTAATATCAATACCACTAATGCATAACATTCTTTATTTATAGTGATAAAGTAAATTTAATAAATTGTTGTCCCCAACAGTATTGGGTTCAATACATTAAATATTAAATATATAATATATTATGATTAATGTTGTTTATTGGTAATATAATTTTATTTGAGTCTCGATCCAGTACGCTAATAAACTACATTATTGATACTAAATATCACGAACGAGTACGTGTTTAAGACAAGGGATAATGGAATGATAGGTATAGTTGACAATGCAAAGTATGTATGTGAGAACGTAGAATGCCATGAAACCTATCCCTGTTACTTCCCACGACTTTAATATGCAGACGAGGCAATTTCAAGTATGGTGTGCCAACAGTTCAACTGAAAGACGTGCAAATACCTCAATTTATTCCATCGAAGGCAATTAGTGCTACACGATTATTCTATGATTTCGTAAAATATATTTTTCTTATAAACATGTCAATGGTAATTTTTTATTGGCATGATTAATATATAAATAAAAAAATGTAATATAAAAATTTACTATTTAAAACGAAATTTATTATACTAACAAAATTTTCTAAGCGGGTTATATGTTAATGATTTATATATATATCTGTGATAAATTGCTAATTCTTTATAGAAAAGTTGGAATCTCATAATTTACGCTATACGTTGGTATAACATCTTAACCATTACTTATTAAACCGCGAGTAAATAGGAATGTCTAACGCAACCTTTATAAGCATCAGCATTCCACAGAAGGTGTTATGTTATAGTATAGGCACCATTTACTTTTCAGTACAATGGTTTAAACTGATAACGACGAAAAAAACTACTAATATTTGTAAAACATTTTTATTCGCTAATAATATGCATTCTACATTTGTTATATGTCGTAAGTACAAATGCATCGTTTTTAAAAAAATAAATACATACATGATAAAATTTAGGAGAATAATTTTGGTCTCGTAATATCGGATGCTATGTTGCAAAAATATCGCTGCATTTCATACTTGCACGGGTATTTTCTAAGTAAATATTGCGTCGTGAAAGCAAAAAAATAAAATCTTTCTTCAAATAACACAATCGACATGTTCACGTTATTCCATGAAGCCTAGTACTACTGTACACGCACCATCGATTACGTGCTATAAGATTTTCTAACATCAAATTGCTAAGCTTTTCCTGCATTCCACATTTTATTTACATATAAAAAGATATGCATATTTTTTACACTACTAATGATCAATAAAAACAGAGATTATATCTGCTTTATCAATCAAATAAATACATACGCTCTGTATCCATTTAATGGATATTAATATATATTTTTTCAAATGAATTTTGACTTTGTTCAATCCACGACTAAATTTCCACGACCTTCCTTAAGCAAAGTGTATGTATAATTTGTATCGAATAATAAAGATGAAAAAAATGTTTATATTTTCGTAAAATAATCTTGAAAGCTTCTCTAACCATAAAAACATTTTGATCGCAATAAACTCTATAAATAAACAATAATTTAAAATCATTAAAATTAGACAAAGCAAGCTTGCGATCGGATATGTCAACAAACATATCACAGGATACGCCACTTACAGAAAAATAAACTTTCTTTGCAAGTAAAACAAGATAAAAATTAGTGTGTAGAATAAATAAAGGAAGAAAGAGAATGCGCGCGCGAGAATGCGAGAGAGAGAGAGAGAGAGAGAGAGAGAGAGAGAGAGATGACAAGAGCGCGATTGTAACTTACTGTTAAAGACGAGCAGCTTCCGCGTGGAGCCAAGCCTCTTGATGGGCGACTTCACACCGTCAATTTCTTCTTCGTCCATCACAATTACCAACACTACCAACAATTTCAACTCTGTTTGAACCTCACCGGATTGTTGATCCTGTTCACTAACGTACAAGCCGATAGTTTCTATAAACGTGAACACATAAAATACCTGTCACAGTTTTATAGCATTCTCGAGCACGAGGAGGTCACCGCTTCGTTGCGGTGAAACCGGTTTACTGTGCAGCGTGTACGCTATTCTATGATCTGCACTAGATGGGCTATCAACGAATACATGTGTCGACCGTATATACAGTAAACGTATTGAATAGAAAAGAAAAAAATGAAAAGATAACTAAGAAGAAATGCCAACACAACGAGCGGGCGAATGAGTGAACGGCGCGGCGGGTCGTTTATATGCGATGGAATAAATTGTAATGCTGCAGATAAACGTGGCTACAACACGACTTACTGTTGTAACATCAATTGCTTTCTGGCTATCCCAGAAGCACACTGAAGATATTCTTGGACTACTGTATATTAATTCGAGTTTGGAGGATCGGCGTCGCTACCGCCGTTACGGTCGCCGCGTCGTCACCATCGTGCATTTGCTACTTGATTGCCACACCGCGTCCCTTTTGTTGCTTAGCAACTGCCCCCAGCAAAATAGTAAAGCCTACTGCCATCTATCGTCACTTTGCATTTTACGTAATTTAAATTTTTTAAATGCATCTACTTTAAAAATCAATAAAAATGATTATGAATCATTTAAATTAAAAAATTAAGGTAAAAAAAAAGTAAAAATTAATTAAAACAATTGAGTGACATTAAATAATATTTCAATACAGAGGTGACGAAATGCAGTAACAGATCGAAGAGTTTCTTAAAAAATGATTAAATCTTGAAAAAATTTATTTGTATTATAAAATAAAATTGAAATAAAATTTTAATTTTACTGGATTTGAGTACTCATATTTTTTTTTTAAATAAAATATTGAATCATACATAATAATGATAATTGTTCCGTTTTTTATAATACATAAATAATTTATTTAGGTCACTATCGAATAGAAATTTTTAATGAATAAAATTCAAATCATACAAAACTGATTCCAAGAGATATTTTTACCATTATTACCATTATTACAAACATTTTATCTAAACATTAGACTTTTAAATTGACTTCACAGTGCAACTAAATCATAATTTGGTATAATATAATTTTCATGTTGTATATAACTAAGGTAAGAAAAAGTAATGTTCTTCAATTTTTGTAAAATTAAGTAGTACATTTTATTTTGCTACTTTCTATCTTGCCTTTAAAAAATGAAAATATATAGTATAAATTTTATTAGATTTTTAAAATTTTAAATTGCATCGGTTGTAATATATTATATAATTTAAATTTAAGAATAAAAAATTGAAAGAGATACCAATTGGTGGAAACCTCTGCTTTATTTTTATACATGTAAACAATAATAAGGAATAGTGACATATATAGAAACATCTGTTTACATGGTTTATTTGAACAAAGTACTTCTTTTCGATCATTAAACTCATAAAATTCAGTATTTTTTATATCTGAAGAAGTTATATATTAGTTAAGTTCAATGATTATGCAACAAAAATTGTAAGCTAAATTAAAATATAAAATAAAATGTATTTTGATAAAATTCTCAAGTTATTGAAATTGAAAACAAGCTCAGGATAGTACGATCATTGAACTCTGCATTTAGTGATTATCACACAATATATATATTTTACTAATATGTCCCTCCAGCGAAAAGTATTAATACTGTATCACTGATGGCAGATATTTAAAAATTTATAATAGTAAACTATTTCTTCCTTAGCTGTTATTCAATGTTTTTTGTTAATATTCTAATCAAATATATATAAAAATACAATTTATTTACATGTTATTTACATAAATTATTATTTATATTGCACTATTTTATATACAAATTTATCTCGTATTTTTCCTCATGCTAATTGTTACTTTCAAGAAATTACACTTATAGAAATTACATTTAGAAACTACATTTATTTTTAATTACACTATTCATAAGTGATATGTACAATTATTTTTAAAAAGAATGATGACAACTGCTTGCTCCTGATACTTGTGAAATAAAAACAATAAAAGCTTTTTTCAATTGAAACTTTTGTTACTCATTCATTTAACGAATGAAACAATTCATCAAAAAATATTATAATTATTACTGTTTCTTTAATCACAAAACATAATTTGTCATGATTCAAATTACATTTTAAATTATATTTGATATTATATTGCAGCTCTAATTTTCATACTTACTGCTGCGAAATATTTTTAATGCTATTTACATGTCCTTTATGATTGATTGGTTGATTAAATCCTGAATGCAAACAATAGCAACAACATATAAACCTGCGAGTAAATGTATGTATCAAAGATTATGTTATTTATTAATAAGTGAAGAAATATGCACTATTGTCTGCAAATAATCCTTTCATATTTGATATGAGTAAATTTTTCCTCAAGGCAAGATTCTTGATCACCAATTCTTTCTTTTTTAAATACTTACTATAGAGTTTAATAATCAATTTTGATTTAAGAAATCCATCTTTTCAGAAGTAATGTGTATATGAAGTTGAACATTTTTAGCATATTTGAAAGATTACTTTGACACTGCATTAACCCATAATTCGTCTAGTGAGTGATCTCGCTGCTTGTGTGCAAATTGAGGTAGTCCTACTGATTGCTACCCGAGGCGGCCGCCATAAGTGTCAAAGTCGGCCGAACAAGTAGCGCGTGGCAATAGAGCGATAATTTTCAAATGTTTCCGACTGTCCTATGTTGTTACAGTTCCTTACTCCGTGTGTTAGCATCAAGTCTTTTGCATTTCGTTAGTTCTGTTTAAATAAACCGAATATAATGTGTCGCAACGTGTTTTGATTCTCTCGTCCCTGCGAGATATTTTCTTTTAATAATTCTATTTCATTATATATTTCAACATTATGTTTATTTTTAAATGTATATTTAATAAACTGCATCAAATACTTTTACATTATAGCGTGATTTTGATGTTTTAAATTAAATATATCCAAAATACCTCAAAAACTAAGAAAATTTAGAAATCTTCCTTTTCTTTTCTCTCCCTTTTTTCCATTTTCTTGATTAAAACACATGTGCATTTATTACTACTTAGATGCGATTTGTGTATAAGTAATTATTTGACAAGACGCGTACACGTATTCGAATAAATGAATTCCTCAATTCAAAATTAACGTCATTAAATTCTATTCAATAAGTATTTTCAAAAAAAAAAAATTGCGACAGAAGAAAAGGTTTCTCAGCAGAATAGTTTACTTTTCTCTGCCATTAACTATTCGCTTTCTATGAATCATACCAGAGAGAGAACATATCTAACCATATACATATTTCTGTCCTTTAGGATTGTTACCAATTATCTTTGCAAAACACTCAGTCCACTATAAATATAAATATGCTATAGATAAAGTTGTTTCTATGGTAACCAATTTCAAAACAATAGGATACCAAATTTTTTAAATACGTTACATTAGTAAAGTTATTTAATTGTGTAATCGTTTATATCATTTATAATTAACAGTATTTGTTGAAACAAAAAAGTATTTTAGGTAAAGTGTTCATAATGCAAAGGCCACAAACGGGTAAAATTTGGTTTTAAAATGAAGTTGACAGATTTTATAAAGTAATGAAGATTAAATTAGAATCTTATATTGTTTCAGGAAGTAACTATCCAGCAACTTCTGGTCAAAATGTACTTACAAGACCATTGTCCGTTTCAATTTTACATAACCAAATGTCAACAGCTAATTCACGGTCAAATACAATTAGTACAAATAGTTCAGGGCATTTAAATGTAGGATTTCCCACAATTGGTTATATGAATATAAATGTTATGGAAAGACCAATTACACAACATGGGGTTGCAGCTATTAGGCCTGGAACTGGTAGGGGAATGCCAATAACAAGGTATATAAATTTACATAATGCTAAAAACTCATAATTATATTATTATTATATTATATTATGTAAGTAGCAGAAATAATAAAACTTAATATAGTCTGTTCACGTTGAGTCATAAATTATAAATAAACACATGCAACATTATTCATGTAGGATAAAGGCATTTTCATAATTTTCGTATATAGAAAAGTATGAATGTAGACTTGTTTTACAAAATTATATGAATTTGTTGTCTCTTCCATATGCAGTAATACATGAAAATTTTGTTTACAGCTGGTAACTTAACTCACAGTTTTTAAAACGATTCATAATTTAAATTTCTATTTATAGGCAAATTCAGGATAAGAGATACTATATTGGACTTGTGCAATTAAAAATAAGGGAATTAAATCAAGAAATTGCTGTTATTATGAAAGATATTGAAGATCAAAATAGAGAAAGGGCTACTTATATACATTATGACAAAAGGGCCAAAGACTTAGCAACTGAATTAACAATTTTGCAAGGGCAGCTAGCAGATTATAATATTGTTGTGGATAAGATGACTTCTGACATTGGAAAAGAAATCATTGAACAAGAAACTGAGGAGCTTGCAACAAAAAACGAACATAATCTATTAAAAATTGAAAATATGTATGAAGAAAGAAAGCAATTAGAGAACAAGTTAAGTAAAATAGAAGAACAATTAGAAAATGAGAAAAGAAAAACTGAACGACTTGTGGAAAGTATGAATGATAGTACAAGAGAAAAATATGAAGAATTATTAAAAGAAAAAGCAAGCTTACAAGAAAAAACAACTAAGATGCAACAAGAGTTAGATAAATCATATAAAGAACAACTTTATTTGGAAGAAGAAATAGCATTATCTCCTTTAAAACAGGAAGCAGTTAAATTACATCTCAAAATTATTGAAACAGAAGAGAAAAGGAATAAGTTGCAGGAGAAAGTAAAACATAGAATTTCACCAGATGAAGAAAGAGAAAAACTATTACAAAAAATAAAACAAGAAAATATGGACATAGCAGCAGCAGAAGCACAATTAACTGAAAAAAAGAAACAAATACAAGAAGCTGAACAAAAACTCGAACAATTGGAAACTGATATAGAAGATACTCAATCTGAAAAACAAATAAAGTATAAAGAACTTCGTAAACGAGAAGAAATTATAGAACAATTTATGATTACTTTTGAACAAAATAAACAGGATGAAACAATTAAATTGCATAAATTAGAAGAAACAATTGTTGAATATTTAGGAAATATTTCAAATATGATAAACGTTAATATTAATTTCAGAGGAAGCGACGAGATAGCTATCTTAAATAATTTACCTCCTTTTAATGAACATGAGTATATTAATAACGGACAAAGCTTTGAAAATTTATCAAAAGATAATTTGAGATTGCAACAAATTTTAAGTGAAATGGAGATGTTAGAAACAAAACTTAAAACAGAATCTGATGATCTTAATGAAAAAATGAAACAAGAGGAAAAGAAATTAATAACATTAGAGGATTTAGATAGCTTAAAAACTAAGTTGGCAATAAAACAAGGGCAACTAACAAAAGAATGCGAACAGTTAAAGCAGCAGCAGGCAATGCATGAACAAGAACTTAAAACAATTCAATTTGAGTATAATGAAATAAAACAACGATTAAAAAGCAATGATGAATACAATCAAATTAATATACTACAAAATACAGTGGAAAACTTAATAGAAGAACATAAAAAAATTGAAAATTTTATACAAAACCAAAGACAACGTAGCAATTATGGTCCAGTGAAAACAGATGTTTTGAATTCAATGAATAGCTATAATACTTTGTTAAAGCAAAACTTAAAACTTATTTATTAGATAAGATTTTTCTGTATGACTTTTTTTTATCGTACATTTGATGTTAATAATTTACATTTTATATCTTTTTCTTTCATCCATTTCTTTAATTCCATGGCACGTTCGTAATCATTCCGTTCATCTGCGTATTAATATAATCAGTTATAAAATTTTATATAAGTATTATAAATCAAACACGACATTACTTACCGCATATTTTTAGTGCTAAATGACATATGAACTCCAAATTTATTTTTGTCGTATCTTCAACACTTTCCAACATGTTCAATGTAAATGTTATAATCACATCAGTTTTTAAAAATTGAAGTTGATGCAATAAAAGATCCTCTCTTATATAGTTTTTCTAAGAGAAATAAATTATAACCTTTTTGTATATTTTGTGTATTTTTAAGATCAATGTGCTACATATAATTGCAATTAAAATAAATATTAATGTAATACCTTTAATAAAGATTGTAATTCTTTTATTTTGTTACATGCACCAAATGCTATTGCCAAATTCACATCTGCTATTTCTTTTCCACTCGCTTTTACTATGAGATCATAAATATTTTGCAGAAGATTCCAGTTTGGTGAAGAAGAGTCTGAAATCGATTCCAATATTTTTATTAAAAGTTCTTGTTTCGCAGGGGTTCTCTTTTGTTGTTCAGCACAAAGTTTGAAAACGTCTATAGCTGATTTTACATCATCTCTCAATATGTAAACAAGAATTAAATATTTGAGAATATTATCAGAGCCTGCACAATATCCTCGTTCCACAAGAAGATTTATCATTTTTGCAGTATAACTACTAGTATCTTTTGTGACTAATAAATCTAATAATTTTCTGATTGATGTCTCTGACTTTGGTTTTTGATTAACTGTACATGTATTTATGACATTAAGAGCTTCATCTATTTTATTGCACTCTATTAATAATGTAGCATAGTGTATAATCTTAAAATTATCAATTTGAAACTGTGGAAATTCAGATTGAAATTCACATAGTGTAAGTGAAGCTTCATCAAGCATTTTATTTCTTACAAAATAATCTAATAAACATAATTTCATTCCTGGTGTCCATTTAAAATTCTTGTCATTAAGTTCTGTTACAATTTCATTCACTCGTGTATCATTTTGATTACAAAACATCATTAATAATTTTCGTAGAACTCCTCTATAATTTTTTCCGTCAGACTTAAGTTCATGAAAATGCGAATATAATTGTTCTGGACTCATGAATTGTGGATGAATAAGGGTTTTATAATTATAATTATCCATAACAGTTGCAGCCATTTTAGAAATTAAGTTTAAAATATAATTCTTTTTAGAAAAAGGGTTTTCGATAATTTTATCTTTTATATATTGCATATCAGAAGGTGGTATTACTGTTTTATAATGACTCATTTCTATAATAAATGTAGCTATATCATTTAAGTCATTCGTACTATGGCTTAGGAGCTTTTTTAAAAATTCTACAGCAAACCCATTACCATTATAACATGACTGAAATAAAAAATCTATACAGGAATTAATGTCTTTTGATTTTGTATAACTAGAATATATAGAATCTAACAAATTGTTACAATGTATCTTTTTCTTGTAAAAAGAACATACAGTTGAACTTTCCTTCAATCTACCAGAATTTAATAAAAATGTTACAAAGGGCATTATTATATCTTTAACTGGCACTCCATTATTCAATAATTTTCGAACTGTAACAATTGGATCACTTGTATCAACGTATGGAAATATATAATCCGTAAGTGTTTCAGAGTCTATTTTGACATCTAGAGCTGTCATCAGCTTAATAATTGAATAAATATGAGTTTCTCTGTCATGTACATTTTCATTTAAAAAGGAAGGCCAAAAATAATTACAATTAATAAGAACTCCTCTTTTTTTCATTTCATTAAATATTGCAATGGTTAATGTTTCATTTCTTGTTCTCAAAGATAATAAAGCTGTTTTTTCCAAAATCTCTGAAATACACTGTTCTCTCATTCTCTCCAAATCATTTATAAATTGTAATATAATTTTTTGATCTATGTTTAATTTAATCATTTCTTCTAAGAGATAAAGTGTAAAAGTGTCCTTTATATGTTCAGCTTCATTTCTTATAGGAATATGAGTTACCACCTTGTAAGCATCTAAATAATGCCCTGCATGCACAAGTTGTACAATGACTGAAATGACATTATAATCTTCGACTGTTAATGGTTCCGAGAAAATTATAATATCTGGTATATGTATTCCATGTCCTGATAGACTAAGAAATTTAATAAGTTTCATAATATGTGCCCTAGATGGTTTGTAAGTTGATAGAATATGAGTTAAAGATTCAATATCATTATTTTTCGCATATGCATACATTAAATGTATGTAAGTTGTGGCAGATGGTTGAATGTTTCGTGTTCTCATTAATTTAATAATATCCTCAGCCTTTCTTGTATTTCCATTTATTGCATATGCATATACTAATGCATTATAGATTTTCTTATCATAATGTGAATCAGGTGTTTGTATATCTGCAATCAGACCTTCAGGTTCAGTACAATCAGTTGTGTTTGGTAATATTTGCAGCAAAAGGCAATAAGTATCATATTCCGGTTTAATTCTCATACATTTTAAAAACTCTTTTGTATCAATACGATAATCATTATCAATGTAAGTTTGTAGCAAGGCATGATAATGATCAATTGTTAAATTACAACTGTTTTTCAAGAGGTTCCAGACACGATTAGCTAATTCTTGTCGTATTTTTAAAGGTTCATTGTATAATACATGTCCACAACACTTAAGCAATTTTAAACTTAAAGTTTCTGGTATATCATAAGCATTATTTTCTAAATCTTCAATAACTGATGTTATCACTTTTATGTTTACATTATGGTTATAAATACTTTCATCCAATAAGTTTTCTTTCATTTGAATGCTTTGTACGTTGGTTACATAATTATTATAGTTTAAGGCATTAACGTTTTTCAAATTATATATATGTATAGGTATCTTTATTTTAGAACATAAACTATTACATTTGTAACATAAATCAATTATGCCGAATTGTGAGCCACTTATGTTATGAGCAATTATATATGATGTTTTAAACAATTTTCGCCATTTTATTATTGAAATCATTTTATCAATTTTAAGTTAATCGTGCTAATTTAATTTTTTAAAAGTATTATTATTATTCATTATTAATGTTTAATTTCTTTTAATGTGATGATATAAAAAGAACCGTAAAAATAATTGTAAAACACAATTTTTTCAAGTATATATATACATAAATATTTAAATTATATTTGGTAATATTTATATTTATAACTGTTATTTACTTGTTTATTTCTATTATTATATACTCGTAATAGAAACGATATGTATATTCCATTATTACATGTAGTGACTATAGCACAGTGTAGATCAGAGGCGACACTCTTTGTAGGTACTTTCGATCTCTCGAAAACGCTGTCCCTTTAAATTGCTTGTACAAACGAGCGGGAAAATGAAATCAAGCAAATCTACTTTCATGTCAATCTCTAATAATTTGGAATGTTACCGTGAAAGATCGAAATTGGAGAATGTCGACTTTCACCGGTGAATGTAAACACATACCAAATACGTCGGTGAAAGACCGACGTATTTTATTACATTCTTGTATATTCGGACCCTCACCGGTGTATGTCGACAATCACTGACTAAGTTTCCATCGAGGGTTCAAATCGGGTCAGAGTCGGGTTAGAGTCGGGTTTGAGTCGCGGGTTGGAGTTGCGGCAGGGTTGAACATTACCAACTGCACAAAGTCAACTACCATATTCTGACATGTAAAGGAGAGCAATAAAGCGACTGGCTCTCTCCCGTCAAATCCTGTATTCTACGCGGAGTCAGTCAGCTTTGTCAATCTTATGCAAGCTTTGATGATGCGAGAAACGTTTTCTTAATTTTTTTTCCAATACCGTAATTTATACTGAATGG